ATATTCAGACTCACAAATGCCTGTTTCTCTACAACCTGGGAGCTCATTACAAATCTTAATCCCTTACTACACCTCTGAGGACAGGGCCAAGGATCTATTTTTCAACAGTCTTTTAGTAATTTTTTTTTTTACTGTATCACTACAAATTTTATTCAGAAACCCATCTTTGTGTTTTTTGTTTAGTTAGTAATTTTTAAGAAGCCCTGGTGGCATAGTGCAAAACATTGGGCTGCTAATGGAAAGGTTGGCAGTTCAAAGCCACCAACCACTCCTCGATAGATGAACAATCTCTTCCCATAAAATTTTCAGTCTTGGAGACCTGAGGGTGGATTACTATGAGTCAGGATCAACTCTACACCGGTGAGTCTGGTGATTTTGAATGCTTCTTAAATTGTCTAAATATTAAACAGTTGTTGTTGTTGTTATGTGCCATGAATCACCTGCATCTCATAGTGACTCTATGCACAATAGCTCCGAACCCTGCCCTATCCTGAGCCAGTTTCATTGTCTCCATCACACCAAACTGTATTTTATTGTGTCAATTCATCTCCTCCAGAATCTTTCTTTCCTTCACTGATCCTCTACCCTTCTAAGCAAGATGTCCTTCTCCAAGGACTGATCCTTCCTGGCAACAGGCCCAAAGTGTGTGAGACAGAGATTCAAAATCCTTGCCTCCAGGGAGCAACTTGGTTTCACCCTCTCTAGGACAGACCTCTTTGTTCTCTAGGCAGTCCATGGAATGCTCAACATTCGTCTCCAGCACCACAGCTCAAAGGCATCAATTCTTCCTCTGTCATCTTTATTATCCAGCTCTCTGATGCATAACGAGTAATTGTGAAAATCATGGCCTGCATCAGGTGCACCGTGGTCTCCAGACTGACATCCTTGTTCTTCAGCACTCTAGAGAGGTCTCTGAGAGCAGACTTACCCAGTGCAATTAGGTTTTTTATTTCCTCACTGCTGGTGCCACTAGTGTTGATGATGGAACTAAGAAAGCTGAAACTGTTAACAATCTCAGTTGGCTATTTTATTCTACTCTGCCTCTTTACTGAATGCTGCATAATTTATTCAGCTCTCTCTTTCATTTCACTAGTTTTTCCATTAGTTGGGTCTCTCCTCTTACTTGATCACATCATCAGGATCAGTCATTCATTGTTTTTCTTGTTGTTATGTGCTGTCGAGTTGCCTGTGACTCACAGCGACCCTATGTACAATGGCCCTAAACCCTGCTCTATCCTGTGCCAATCTCACTGTCTCTGACATACCTACCCCCATTACCCCAGTCTCTGAATCAATCCATCTCATCGATAGTGTTCCTCTCCTGCGCTGTCCCTCCACCCTCCCAAGCATGACGTCCCTCTCCAAGGTCTGGTCCCTCCTTGCAGCATGTCCAAAGTATGTCAGATGAAGCTTCAGAATCCTTGCCTCCAAGGAACAGCCTAGTTTCACCCTTTCCAGGACAAACCTGTTTGTTCTCTTAGCAGTCCATGGTATATTCAATACTCTTCTCCAACACCACAGCTCAAAAGCATCAATTTTCCTTCTATCCTCCCTAGTCATTGTCCAACTCTCTGACGCATAGCAAGTGATTCCAAAGACCATGGCCTGTATCAGGTGCACCTTAGTTTCCAGACTGATATCATTGTTCTTCAGTATTTTGGGGAACTCTCTAACAGTAGACTTTCCATCACAATACATCTTTTAATTTCCTGGTTGCTGGTGCCAAGAGTGTTGACTGTGGAGCCCAGCAAACTGAAGCTGTCAACAATCTCAATGTCTTCACCATCTTTCATGATGCTGCCAATCTACCCAGTGGTGAGAATCTTTGTCTTCTTGGTATTGAGACTTAATCCATATTGAAGGCTGTAGTACTTGAGCTTCTGCAGTAAGTGCTTCAGGTCCTCCTCAGTCTCAGCAAGCAGGATTGTGTCATCTGCATTATGCAGATTGTTGATGAGTCTTCCTCCAATCCTGATGCCACACTTCTCCTCATAGAACCCAGCCTCCTGGATAATCTGTTCTGCATATAGATTGAAAAGGTATGGAGATAGGACATATCCCTGGTGTACAACTTTTCCCAATTTTGAACCATGTAGTGTTTCCTTGTTCTGTTCTGATGACTGCCTCCTGGTCCAAGTATAGGTTTCAGCAGAAACAAGAAAAGCTCCCTAATGAGAGAGGTTGACACTCACCTGAAATGTAAACTCAGGCATTCTGGTAATCAAGAAGCTGACACAGACCAGGAAGCCTTTCCTTGTTCTGGACAGATTGTCATGAGTCTGAGGCAACTCAGTGTCAACTGTTGAGAATTTTTCAACAGGCATTTGTTTCCCTTAACCCACATGGTCACAGAAGGTTTGGACTTTCAAGACTCCCGAAATTGTGTAGAAATATCGGTTTTGTAAGTTTTTTGTTTTTTAATCTGGGCCCAAGACCTTATTTTCTTTCCTCCCTTGGAACCAGGGGTCTGAGTGCCTGGTATTAGTAGGTGATCCCTGAGCAAACTCATGTCACTAGTCAGCTTTCACCACAATAACGCTATTTAAAAAAAAAAAGTTCCACAATTCAGTGTCATCTAAAAAAGAAACATTTACTTCCCACTCATTCTGAGTTTAGCTCGTCAAAGCCTGGTTCTCCTGGTCTTGACTCTTGAGCTGTTGGTAGCATCTTGAGGCCCCACATGTCTCGTCTTTCATAGTAAAGAGAACAAGTCCCACGTGTAAGAACACTCTAAGCCTGTCTTTAAATCACATGCCCTAACATCCTGCGGGCCAGAGCTAGTCAATGGACCACATACACTGATCAGGATGAGAGGAAATGCTCTCCTCCCACAGAGGTGAAGGAGAAGGAGTGAATATTTGCTGAACAGTAATCGAATCTATAGTTCATCTTTTCCCCACTTGATTTTCAGCCCCTTTTTTCTTTTTTTAGTTCCAGGGAATTTAGCTAGTTGTTTTAAATAAAAAGTATGATTTATATTTACCCAGCTTTTAGGCCTTTGTGGAATGAGGATTTTTCGGAGTAATGTGTTCACTGTGATTCTAGAGGATAGAGATTAAAGTGAGGACTCCATCACAGGTGTGCGGGCTCCCATGTCCTCCTCTTTATGGCTCATGCTGCTGCCGTCCTTTGAGGAGTCCTAGTGGTATAAATCTGGGAGAAGGATGGGAGATGGGCGGTCTCCTCCCCTGCGCTAAACTGCCTCTGAGCACCCACTGGAGGGTCAGCTATGGGTGAGTTCCGACTCGAGGGTACACAACAGCAACAGTGGTATAAATGGCTGAGTACTTTACTGAAACATTGGCAGTTCAAACCTACCTAGCAGTTCTGCAGAAGGAAAAACCCAACAATCTGTTCCTGTCCAGATTACAAACTAGAAAACCCTGTGGGGGCTCTGCTCTGTCCTATGGATGGCTGTTAGTGCTTCGTTTACTGCTTCAGTGTCGCCCAATAACAACATTACAACTGTGAAAGCAAATGCTGTTTGGAAAAATAAACCCCATAGCTGTTAAGCCAGTGCCATCTCATGGCAGCCTTACGTGGTACAGAGTAAAGCTGAGGCCCACGGCATTTTCTTGGTTGTAATCTTTACAGAAGTAGACCATCAGGCCTTTCTTCCATGGTGACACTGGAAAGGTTTGAACTGCCAACTTCTTGACTAGTGGTTAAGTACAGACCATTTGTACCAACTCTCTTGGTGCAGCATTTTTCAAATTGCTTTCATGTGACCCATTGAACAGAATACTTGGTATATTACAGATCAGCCAATACACACATATGAAATTCACAGAATGCTGACAACCTTTATTAAGTGGGGTGTACTCTGATCTTTTCTATTTTGTCTTTTAAATGTTGATCCTGATACTAAAGCCACTTTGGTCACTAGGAATCACACCTGGAGTTTTGGAAACACTGACCTATTGGACTCAATCATTTTTCTCATCCCTGTTACTAATTTTGGAATTTGCCTACTTTCATCTCATTTGCAAAGAAAAATAAGCTCAGTTGGGTTGTCTGTTCTTCTAAGTCATTATGAATGTCACCGTGGTCAGTGGTCCTAGGCCAATCTCTATTGCCGTCTAGCTGGTCGCTAAAAACTAACTATGTATCAGCCTGTGCTCTGGACACCTACATACTAGTGCCAGGTGTCAACACAGATGCAGGTAGGTTAGAGCCCAGATCTTAAATGACACCATGAACAGACTTCAGCTACACAAATACTCGCCTACCACATGGCCTGGACATGACATCTGGAAAGCCCCTTAGAGGCTGAGAGATGGCTGGTAAAGGCTTCAAAGAGCACAGATTTGCCTTGGGAAAGATAGCAAGGAGAGAAGAATGCTGAGGAGAGATTTTGGGGACTTCTCTCAGCAGAAGTCGGGAGCTACTGACAGTGTTTGAGCTAGGATGTTTCAGCTCAGGTAGTTATAAGATTAGATGAAGGCTTCAGGAAAGTTAACTTGGCCAGTCCATTCAAAAGTGCTTCAAAGCGTCCATGTTGACACTTCCACAGGCTTGGTGATCTCCTCCTTTGAAGAGTGCAGCTGGGAGAACCCTGTGAGGCCCTTCTTCTCTGTCCTGGAGGGTCAGTTGAGTGAGAACTGACAGTGATGGCACACAACATCTGCCAGGCTCTGTTTTAGATAATCAAGAGGCACTGGTGAATGAAACAGGCAAAATCCCTGCCCTTAGGACATTTTACTCTAGCAGTAGCTCTGGGGAGCGCAGGGGTCAAGCTTGTAATGCTAATTAACAATATAGTATGTAGAAAGTAGTGACTGTGGTGAGGGGGAAAAAAACCCAAAACACAAACAAAGCAAGGGGAATTGGGAGAGCTAAAGATGTGCATGCATCCCTCTGGGTGGCTGCAGCCCAAAAGATCAGGCCGGGCATGGGGAGGGCCCTGAGCTCCAGCAATGGCAGCAGAGAGGGGAGGACGTCAGGGCTGCCTGCCCACAGCATTGACTTCGCAGCCAGCCTCATACTCGTTTTTCTTTCAGAAACACCATGTTTAACATCCGTTCCAACAAGCAAGCCCAAGGATCAAGCCCTGTACCTTCAGAAGAAGATTCATCACAGAACGGGGAGCCTCAGAAGGAGGAATCACCCCTGCTCCCTGATTCCAACCCCCCAGGTAAGCCTTCCCCAGCTCTCAGCTGTATTCAGAGATTATAGACCCCCAGAGAGCAAACTCTTCCTCTTGATAAATCCTCCTGCCAACCAGCATTTTTACATTTGTGTGTCAAAGACAAAATCCCCAGGTCACTTCCCCAGCATGAAGTAGCAGTGGTTTTAAAGTTGAAAGGGGATCTCTCTTGCTTTTTTCTTCCCCCCCTTCTTCCTTTCTCTTCCTCTCTCTTTCATTCCCATGAACTTTATTTCTAAAATCAGCCTGCAAGTTAGACTCAGCCCATAAACCATGATTAGCTGCATCTTCCTCTGAAAGGAACAAAAGGACTATGTAGCCTTGAGGCCATCAGCTGTGGGAATATAGCTCCTAACTTAACCTTTGAAAAGAATCATTAAAAGAGTTTGAGCCACTGCTTGGATAGAAGAATGAGGAGTACCAGTATTCCATGTTCCTAGTAAGAAGTGGATCCGAGTGCTTTTGAAATCACACAGCAGATAAAGGTTGTTGTTGTTGTTGTTGTTATGTGCCGTCGAGTCGCTTGCGACTCATAGCGACCCTATGTACAACAGCCCTAAACTCTGCTCTGTCCTGTGCCAATCACACTGTCTCTGACACTCCCATCCCAATTATCCCAGTCACTGAATCAATCCACCTCATAGAGGGCCTTGCTCTCCTGTGCTGTCCCTCCACCCTCCCAAGCATGATGTCCTTCTCTAAGGACCGGTCTCTCCTCACAACATGTCCAAAGTATGTTAGACGGAGCCTCAGAATCCTTGTGGGATCCTGAAATAAGAAACCAGGGCTTGTGTCTGAGGAGATGGTCAAGATCCTCGGGCAGAAGACAGACATGGTTTAGAGGATGAGCTAAATTACTTGTTTTTCTCCACACTGTGGCTATGGGCTGACCACACAGTGTAAATATAGTTTATATCACTGTGTTGTTTTCAAAGCAATCCCTAAAAAAAAAAAAAACACAGCATGAGCATCACCTAGGAACTTCTTAAAAAAATGCATATTCTCCAGTCCCAACCTACTGAATCAAAAAGCTCTTGGAATAGGGCCCAGCAAGCTGACTTTTTAACAGGGTTATTTACAGAGTTCGAATACGTTGTTTTTCACACCAGATCTTCCCCATTTCCCTCACTCCCCTCATCTACCCATAAAATTGTGCGACCCTATGATTAACTCCCCGCCCAACATTACCCCTCTCCTCCCACCTTCACCCTCATTGGATCTTAGATACTCATATTCATTCTACATAATAATGGTCTTATGCAGTATTTGTCCTTATGGGACTGAGTTGGGTCACTCAGCATAATGCTCTCTGGTCACTCCCAAATTAGGTAATAATTTACAAAATTGTTGCTCCTGTGTGCTGCGTAGTATTACATTGTGTGAATGTACCATAATTTCTCAAATTTCATAAATTCATAAATTTCATAAATTCGTTTGATTGTGCTTGGGCATATGGACTGTTTTCATGTTCTTGCAATGGTGAATAACATTGCTATGAACACTGGTGTACAATTCTCCGTTTGTGCTTCAGTTCTCATTCTCTCAAGGTATATTCCAAGCAGTGGAATAGCTGGGTCATATAATAAATATTGGAGAAGATGTGGTGTGACGAGATAGGAACTCTTATACATTGTTGGTGGTATCGTAAAATGGCACAACCACTCTAGAAGGCAGTTTGGCATTTCCTCAAAAACCTGAACAATCTGACTTTTAATGAACCCTCATGTGTTTTTGAAATGCATTCAGGTTTGAAAGTTATGGGTGACATCAGTGAATAACCTTTACATTTCTCCTTATGAGCAGGGAAAGAGCCAACAGACTCTCCAAAGCACACGCCCAAGTCTTCTCTAACGACCAACCTCATTCAGAAAGCCAAACGCCAGAATAACACCTTCCCACGCTTTCCCGAAGGGCTTACGCGCCCCAGAACCTCCCAGGAGAAGGTGGAGGCCTTGCAGCATCAGGTGCTGGTGCTGACTGAAGAGTTAAAGTCTCAGAAGGTGAGACCCGGCTCGAGACCCCAGGCTCCAATGGACCCCTCTGTCCCTGAAGCCCTTTGGATGAGGGAGATGTGATATTGTAAGTCTAACCGCGCATATGCTTCTGTAGTCTTTCAAAGCCGGACTGCAGAAAGTTAGAAATGCTTTGCTGTCGATTTCTTGGAGGCCTGCTGTCACTCAGAATAGAAGACAGAGTCTTTCAAAGGCAGGTCACTGGAGTCGCACTTTAATAGCTGTCTTTTGGACCCTTCCTGAAGAGCTATATTTAGAGGAGCAGCGATCTATTTGCAGGGTCTGTGCGGGCCCCTGAAAGTAGTTGAGGATCTTTCACCTACAGGTGAGTCACTGGGTACAGATCCTGAGGACTGTCACGGGACAGAAAGCAAATAAGGTCTGAGTGACCCCAGGAGCTGAGCCAGGGGACAGGGACAGGAGGGAAGACTTAGGCTTAACCTAGAGTAGAGTTCATTACTGGCAGTCCCTGGGGTCTGAGCATCCAGCTTAGAAACAATTCCGGCTTGTCCTTTAAGCAGGGCTTCCAGCCCATTTAATCGGGTTCTATCATGGCCAACAAAATGGAACAGAAACAGCCTGGAATTTTACAAACTGTCTCCATAACCAGAGAGGGAAGATATATGGGTTGAAGCTCTCGCACGGGAGACTCAGGAGGGGTGTGGTTAGCTCCCAGGAGCCTGTGTCTTTGGGGCAGGTCTCTGGATTCACATCCATTCTGCAGTTGGTGGGCAGGATGCCGTGTCTCATTTCTGATCACCAGTTCGAACCCCTGCTCTATTGTTCTATTGTTACGTAAATTTGCCTTCACTTTGGAACAATTTGAATCAACCCCGACTCACCACAAGCTTTTGATCACAGTCATCTGCACTTGCTGTGTGTGCAGCTTTTAAATTTTTGAAAAGTCATAAAACCTTTTTCTGTACTAAAGCCACTGCCATCAAGTCAGTTCCAGCGTTCAGTGACCCTGTAAGACAGACTAAAACCATGCATAGGGTTTGAAAGGCTTTAAATCTTTCTGGAAGCAATATGTCTCGTTTTTCTTCCAAAGAACAGCTGTTAGCTTTGAACCACTAACCTAACTAAAGTTGGCAGCTCAGTGCCTTAACCAGAGCACTCCTTTCTTACAGTAAAATAAGGCTAAGGAAGAACTTTATGCACCTGTTCTGACTGACTTACAGATTTTTTTATTATTTTTTTTAAGAGCCTTTGCCCAAGTTTATAGGCAACTAGGGGTTGGACAAGAAGAATAATTTGCAGGACTGAGAACTTTATAACACTGGCCTAAAGCCATGAAGCACAATGCTGAGGAATCATCTGTGAGCACATTTTAGGAGCTGTCCTGACTGTATTCTGCTACTAACCTAAATTATAGGCTTTTTACTTCCCCTATATGGTTCTGTGAGCTACCACATCAGATTTTGGACCTAGTTAAGCAGTAAAAGTGGTGTTAGGATGAGTAGAAAGTGGTGCAGGATATGTCTGACCTCATGGGAATTGGTTTTGTGTTGACCTACAGATTTTGAAAAACATGGAATAGATCTCATTCTACCCTAGGAACTGCCTTTATGGGAATTACAAGAAGAAATATACTAGCATTGTAGAAAATCTTTAAATTATTATTCAGTTATTCAAATAATTCTAAGGGGCTGCCTCAGTAATAGTGAAGATTGTGTGGACACGTCTGCAGCTCTGCAGAGAAGCTCTCCTTAACCTGAAAAAGGTGGTTAAGTGAGCACTGTTGTTACCCTAAATGCCAAGATTGGTGCCTTGTAGTACTTCTGAACTATTATTAGTTGCCTTCAATTCTAACTGATGGGAACTCCAGATTTCCCTGGAAACCCTTGACTTTCCAAGATTGTGACCACTCAGTAGCAGCCCACATGAAGGTGAGAGTTCTGCCACGGAACCACCAGTGCCCCAGACTGCAGAGTAGATTGAGACCAAATCCCTGCCTTTGGGGGTCAGTAATGGCCCAGTAGGCAAACGGGCATGAGCACACATAACCGCTGAGACAAGTCAGTGTATTCCCAGCGCTGTGCGGGGGCTTCCCACGTATTCTCTCTCATCCTCCCAAAAGTCACCATCCTCCATTTCCTGAAGATGAAAGCAAGGTTCTGCCTACCCACCGTGTGCAGTGCCCAGGGGAGGAGGCAGTGTTCAGGCTGCATCTGCCCTAGCGCCTTGGCTCTTTCCCTCATGATAAGCTAGAGTCTCTGAGAAGGTGAATGACTTGCCTAAGGTCACACAGCTGGAAGAGCCAGCACTGGACCCTCCTTCTCCAGGTCTGGGGCTCTTAGCACAGCCAGGCTGCCTTCTTCATGGTCTCCACAGCTTAGCCCAGTGTTAGACAAAGCACAGCAACTGCTCTATGAAACACCTTCCCTTGGTCTCCCTCATATCATAGTAATTATGAACCACGGCCTATTCTGATAACTAATTAAGCCAGAATCAACCCCAGGCCCCTACCTCCCTAGCCTGTAGGCAGTTCAGCCTCCGAGGCAGCAGCAGGTGTTTGATTAGCCGGGTGAGTCATGCCTCAGAGACAACAGGATCGGGCCCAGCCTGAAGGCCGTCTGCTCTGGCAGATGGAGGACTGTTGTCTGTGGTGACGTTGCCCATCTGTTGACTGCTAAGAATGATAAATCCCTTCAAGGGACCTCCCTGGGGCCCTCTGCGGCTACCTTGGCTCCCTCAAGGTTATGTGGTCATGACACCTAGTTGTTTAGGAAGCATGGTAGGGCAGTGTGTGAGTGTGTGGCCTCTTATTTCCTCTAGAAGTCCTGCTAAGACTTACGAACATGCTTCCCATAGTCCAGGTGATGGGAGGGAGGGTAGGGCATTGGCACAGTCTCTCTTGCCCTCATGGTAACTCGGCAAGGCGTACAAGTCATTCTCTCTGCTTTACAAATGAGAATGCTAAGGAGCAGTGCAGTCCCTGCTCGAGTCCACCCATTCTCATGGTGGGTCTGGAATGGGAACTGAGGCCTCTGTGACTGCACAGCCAGCATCTGTCACCTGTGCCCAGCGAGCTCTCAGCTGTCAGTAGCAGAAACGTTGGACTCCTGGCCTGGGGCTCACGGTCTAGCCTGCCTTGGGCTCGTCCACCCTGATTTTTAGTTAGTGGTAAAGGTATCAACTCTTTAATAAAAGAAAGGATTCTTTTTTGAAAGATAATTTAATGACTTCTACATTTAAAAAAAATGACAATTTATGACAAGTTATCAAAGTGTAAGATGGGCCAAACTATGATTTGAGTGCCTTTCTTGGGAAAAGAAAAGAAATCTTGAAACTATCCCTTGATCAGTTCTTTCACGTCTATGATTGATCTCTTTTTGTTTTTCAATGTTCTATCATTTTCTTATCTATTTTATATTTTTATTCATTCATTGTTGCACATTTTCCTCTCCATCCCAGCCCACTTTGCAATGCACCTCTTGTTCCAAATTGTTATCATACACATAATGCCTAACCATATATTCCTTTCCTAAGAGTTGATCTTAAGGTATTGATTGTAATTGTGGGAATTGGAAGCAACACAAATGATCATCATGAGGGGGCTGATTTAGGAATTGGTGCATTCATCCACAGAATACTCCAGCTGTTCCACTGTTGACTAGAGAGATGAATTAACATAACATAAAGGTAAAAGAAACATCGAAATGCAATGTCTGGCAAGCTCTCCTAACTTTTTAAAACATCTGGGTATGGTGCATTGCACCACTAACCAAAAACTCTATCTCGCTAGTGGTTCAAATCCACCAGCACTCCAAGGGAGAACTATGGGTAGTCTCTTCCTGTGCCATTTACAGCCTCAAAAACTCAGTAAAGAGACAGCCAGGAGTCAGGTCTGACTTGATGGCAATGAGTTTTGAGTGGGTATATATTTTATGAGGAGAGCTCTCATGACCTAGTGATGCAGGGCCAAGCTGCCAGCTCAAAGGCACACAGTTAAATTCACCAGCTGTTCCACAGGAGGAGGGCATTCTCCTCTGTGATTTACTGCCTTTGAAAACCCGCTGGAGCGTCTGCTGTGAATCTGTTCCAAGTCAACAGCACTTAACAACAACAATATGTGCTATACAAGCCCTGATGATATAGTGAATTGGGGTGCTAAACAAAAGGTTACAAGTTCAACTCCAGTAGATGCTTCAAGGCAGGAAGGATGGGCAGTCTTATCCCATAAAGACTTACAACCTTGGAAACTCAATGGTGAGTCACTATGGGTCAGATCCCACTGGATGGCAGTAGATTATTTTGTTTTATGGCGTAGGCACAGAAGTATAGGCAGCTTCTAACACTGCCTGCGTAGCATGGAATAAGACTCCAGCTGATTAGACAGAGATGGCACAAAGCATCCCCATGCCATTGGGCTTCTGTTCGTCTCCCCCTACCGGAGTCCTAGCAAAGGTGTCAACCTGCTTTCTTTTTTTATTTATTTATTTATTTTTGTGTGCATGTACCGTCAAATCAGATCTGACTGGTACAGGAGGAGATTGTCCCTCCTTCCCCGGCAGAGCATCTGGTGGATTCGAACCGTGCGCCTCTGGGATTGTAGTTGCAGTTCCTTGCTACTAGGCCACCAGAGCTCCCCCCACTTTCTTTTAAAACAATAAAGATTTTTTTGAGCTATGCTGAGAAAGTCTATGTCTATTCTACATGCATTTTTTTAAAAGTCTCTAAGAATACCTATCAAAAGCTTAGTACTACTTCTACAGCTTTGTGTTATATTCTGTTGAGTCTACTAAGACTCTTACCGACCCCACAAACAATGGCTCTGAACCTTGCCCTATCCTGGGCCAACCTCACCATCTCTGACACACTTGACCCCATTGTTACAGTCCTGGTGTCAATCCATCTGATCCAAGGTCTTCCTCTCTTGCACTGACCCACCCTTCCAAGCAGGACATCCTTCTCCAAGGACTGACCCCTCTTGACAACATGCTCAAAGTGTGTGAGACAGTTTCAAAATCTTTGCTCCAAAGAGC